TATATAACCTTTTCAGTCTTAAAGTTCGGAGCCACCGGTGGCGCAGTGGGTTAAACCCCTGTGCCGGCAGGACTGAAGACCGACAGGTTGCAGGTTCAAATCCAGGGAGAGGCGGATGAGCTCCCTCTATCAGTTCCAGCTCCTCATGCTGGAACATGAGAGAAGCCTCCCGCAAGGATGATAAAGCATCAAATCATCTGGGCGTCCCCTGGGCAACGTCCTTGCAGACGGCCAATTCTCTCATAACAGAAGCGACTTGCAGTTTCTCAAGTCGCTCCTGACACGGCCAAAAGTCTTAAAGTTAGTCTTGAATGGGACACACATAGTATTCCTATAAAAGCCTCTTCCAAGGCATTTTATACCATACACCCAAGGAAGAGGACTTTAAGCTGCATCTGCAGCGTCGAATGAATGTAGTTTGGTACCACTTTAACTGCCATGGCTCAACACTATGGGATCCTGGGAGTTGTAGTTTGCCGAGGTCTTTAGAGTTCTCTGCCAAAGAGTGCTGGGGCCTCACAAAACAACAAATCTCAGGAATCCATAGCAGTTAAAGTGGTGCCAAACTGCATTTATTTGTCAATACAGATGCACCTGAGGACATCGATATGTCTACACCAGGCCTGGGCAAACTTTGGCCCTCCAGATGTTTTGGACTTCAACTCCCACAATTCCTAACAGCCTACCAGATGTTAGGAATTGTGGGAGTTGAAGTCCAAAACACCTGGAGGGACAAAGTTTGCCCAGGCCTGGGCTATACCGTGTTGTTGCATCAACGCATTGCATGCTTTCAGAAATCGGGCCAAAGATATGTGCAAAATGACTCGCTGACAATCTCTCTTTCACTGTTTTGTTGAAACTTGATATTCCATGTGGTTTTCATGATAGATTTTAGGAGAGGAAATCAGAATGATGATGATTATAATGATGGTGGTAATACTAATACTAATACTAATACTAATAATAGCAAAAGTATGGAAAAAAATGGAAAAAATATGTTCCTGGTTTGAAAGTGTTATTTTCTATCTAATTGTGCGATCCTTACTTTGAAAGTCATTGTTGTATTCTAGAAGCTTTGTTTTTGTAGCTTCCACAAACTAGGTTGAATTGGTTGAGACTCTATGATGAGATAATCATTCAAAATGTGCTGCAGGATGTCCTTCCCACAAAGACAAAGTTTTCGCAGTTTAATACATTTTCCCCATGTGTTTATGATAGAACCAATTAGGAAATGACATTTTTAACCCAGGATCAAAAATTATATCACATTGTGTAATATCTCCCCCCACCCCCATTATATGGTTCTGCCCTTCAGAAAACAGTCAGAGGTCTCCTGTATAGACTACTGCAACACGCTCTACATGGAGTTGCCTTTGAAGACTGTTCGGAAGCTTCAGTTGGTCCAACGGGCATCAGCAGGGTTGATCACCAAAGCGGCGGACAGAGAGAGGACATTCCTCCTGTTGCGTCAGCTCCAGTAGCTGCCAGTCTGCTACCGATTACAATTCAAAGTGCTGGCTTTAGACTGTAAAGCCCTAAACGGTTCTGACCTAGCTTACTTGTCCGAACGTATCTTTTCCTAATCACCTTGGAGGTTAAGATCATCTGAGGAGGCCCTGCTTTCAGTCCCACCTTTCTCACAAACGTAATTGGTGGGGACGAGAGAAGGGCCTTCTCAGTGGTGGCCCTCTCGGCTACGGAACCCCCCAGAGACATTAGATCACCCCCCTCCCTCCTAGTCTTCAGAAGAAAAGTAAAAACTTGGCTTTGGGATCAGACTTTCAGAGAATAGTGCAATGCAATAACAGATTCTGACTAAGTGCAATGACAGTGGAATGGCTTGGACTACGATTATAGATGATGTGACTTTAATGACTGGCTTGGCCATGGTAGTCCACGCTTTGGTTACATCCCGCTTAGATTACTGCAATGCTCTCTATGTCGGGTTGCCTCTGAAGACTACCCGGAAGCTGCAGCAAGTCCAGCGCGCGGCAGCCAGATTACTAACGGGTGCTGGGTACAGGGAGCACACCACTCCGCTGTTACACCAGCTCCACTGGCTGCCAATTAGCTTCCGAGCACAATTCAAAGTGCTGGTGTTAACCTATAAAGCCCTAAATGACTCCGGCCCTGTTTACCTCTCCGAACATATTCTCCCTTACGAACCATCAAGATTATTAAGATCGTCTGGAGAGGCCCTGCTCTCGGTCCCACCGGCCGCATAGGCGCACCTGGTGGGGACGAGGGACAGGGCCTTCTTGGTGGTGGCCCCGCGACTCTGGAACTCTCTCCCACCGGAGGTCAGAACCGCCCCGTCTATCCTGACATTTAGGAAACGGATGAAGACGTGGTTGTGGAGACAGGCTTTCGATGAATGAGACAACACCCTAGGATTTTGGATGGAAGATGATGTATATTTGATTTTAATATGATGACGGACTACCGTAGTTTAAAATATATTGTTATTTTAAATGTGTTACTGTAATTGTGAACTATGATATTTTACTAATGGTATGTGTTTTTATGGTTGGAAACCATTGAGGCTGAGTCCCTCAATGAGGTGAGAAGGTCGGTATAGAAAACTTTGAAATAAATAAATTAATTAATTAATATGGAATGGAATGTTTTAAATGCTTAATGTGTAATAATTTTAATTTAATTCTAATTTAAATTTTTATGTTATTGTAACTGTATGTGTTTTGAGGCACTGAATAATTGCCTATATGTAAGCCTCCTTGAGCCCCTTTTGGGGTAGAGAAAGGCAGGGTAAATAGAGTAAATAAATAAATAAATTCAATTGAGAGAATTCATTCCCCTTACGTTTTCCGCCACAAGACCTCTTGAACTCACCTGAATTTTCACTCATATCCTTTCCCTTTCCCTTTGTAGAACAATCATGAGAAGAGCTGTTTAATAGTGGCACTCCCTGCTTTGGAATTCAGTGGAAGCTCCTTCCTTGGAGGCTTTTACATAAACAGAGGCTGGATGTCTATCTGTTGGGGGTGCTTTGAATGTGATTTTCTCGCATGGCAGAAGAGGGTTATTAATTTTTTTATTTGAAACATTTCTATTCCACCCTTCTCATCCTGAAGGGGACTCAAGGCGGAGCACAACATATATATGGTGAGAATTCCATGCCAGAACATAACATAACTATAAATATACACAAACCCTAAAATCAGTTATATCTATTTTAATATCAGTTGTTTTAAACCATTTCAAAACACCATGTTGGCTCCAGTTAGCGGAGTGCGTTTCCTATTATGGACTCACTGCCCCAAAGGCTTGGTCCCATAGCCAGATTTTTACCATCTTTCTGAAGGACAGGAGGGAGGGGACTGATCTAATTTCACCAGGAAGAGAGTTCCATAGCTGGGGGGGGGGGGGGGGGGGGGGGGGGGATCACTGAGAAGGCCCTGTCTCTCATCCTCACCAAACGTGCCTATGGTGGTGGTGCGACCAAGATCAGGGCCTCCCCAGAAGATTTTAGTCTTCATAGTGATTTGTAAAGGAAGATGCGTTTCAGACAGGTAAACCGTGCCGGGGCTGTTTAGGCAGGACTGAGTGTCTCATATGGTCTTTTTCAACTCTAATATTCTATTATTCTATTTATCTGTTGGGCTTACCTGTTGGAAGAATTGTATAGGCTTGAAAATTCAAAGCAAAATAAAACAAGACCATTGGATTATATGGGGATTTTTGCAAAGAATGATCTCCAACACAACTTGTGTGACCGCATCTCTGTATACAAACCCACACGATCTCTCCGTTCATCTGGAGAGGCCCTGCTCGTGATCCCACCTGCATCTCAGGCGCGATTGGTGGGGACGAGAGAGAGGGCCTTTTCGGTGGTGGCCCCTTGACTCTGGAACTCTCTCCCTAAAGACATCAGACAGGCCCCAACTCTGGCAGTCTTTAGGAGGAGCTTGAAGACGTGGTTGTTCCAGTGTGCCTTCCCAGAATAATGATCCCATAGCACTTTGTCCTCCAAAGCACTTTACATTTTTAGGATATGCCCTCCAAAAACGCCACTATCACCTTTTCGTCCATGTCCCAGCATTACTTCCAATTTTAACTTTACATTTAGCCTTCCTACTGTTTTAATTGTGTGTTGTCTTATTGATAATGTTGTATATTTTATTGTCTATGTTTTTATTTTTAATTGAGTGTACTGTTGTTATTATTATTGCTTGTACTGTTGTATTTATCATGAGGAGACAGGAAAGCCTAGAGAAGACAATTATGCTGGGGAAAGTGGAAGGCAAAAGGAAGAGGGGCCGACCAAGGGCAAGATGGATGGATGGCATCCTTGAAGTGACTGGACTGACCTTGAGGGAGCTGGGGGTGGTAACGGCCGACAGGGAGCTCTGGCGTGGGCTGGTCCATGAGGTCACGAAGAGTCGGAGACGACTGAACGAATGAACAACAACAACAACTGTTGTATTTTGGGCTTGGCCTCATGTAAGCCACACCGAGTCCCATTGTAGCGGGGTACAAATAAAGTGTTATTTATTATTATTATTATTATTAATTATTATTATTATTATTATTATTATTATTTGTGAGTATTTTTTTAAAGGAAAACTCGCTGCAATGTCTGACCTGCTGTGTGTCATAGCTTGAATTGAGCCTTTCATTTGTTGAAGCAGATTTTGCAACACTTTCCAGAACCATGTGGTCCAGTTGGACTGCACCTCCCAGCATCCTATGCATAAAAGCTATACTTTGAGGCCAACGGACCTGATATTTTAGAAATTGCTGCCCAAATACACAAGCTAGTATATCCCTGGCTCACCTGTTTTGCAAATACCGGATTTGGGCACAGCATCTGGACATTGCAACGCTCGAAATGCCAATCCTTGAAGAAAGAACCTGGGTTTTGGCTTCTTTTAAAGAAATTATGATATTTTTATTTAAAATTTAAAACAATGTCACCTCATACAGCAAACTGTGCACTTGGATAGATCACAGTGTTCTTCAAAAAGGAAAATAACCAGAGATTTCTCTCCTTTGTTTTCAAAACTTTTAAACTCATTTTTTTATTTGTTTCATTTTTTGGAAATTGGTTTTATTTATTTATTTACATCTGCCTAGAATGAGCTGCAAGTAACACAGTTACTATGAAACCAAAAATCATTACAAAATGCTTTTGTTTTGTTTTGTTTTTTACCCAAAAAAACCCTTTATATTCATAGAAATTTTCTGCAGAAATTCCACAAAAGAAGTTGTTCCTTCTGAATGTCATCGGTTGGTTGTGGTTCTTCTTCTTCTTGTTGTTGTTGTTGGCAGAAAGTGGACTGGGTTCCCACAAAACAATGGCCAGTTTGGGACTTCCTTTGCCAAACCGTCCTCACATGGCGATGAGACGAGATGGTTGCCCAAGTAAAATTAAACATCGGTGACCAAACGAACGTGAGTTTATTGTGGTTTGTGAGAAGAGAACACGGGTTTGTTTGTTTTTTTGGAACTGGACTCGCACTTTTGCAAGAGTCTGCCAGTCATGAGCTCATTACTGTCCAAGGTTGAGAGGGTCCTCAAGAGGTCATCTAGTCCATCCCTCTCAAAAGGAGGCAAGCAGGGAGCATTGCTCAGGGGACTCCCCTGCAAGCATTGGCCAGCATCCCTTGGCATTTGCTGGCCGTCTCCAAAGCAGAAGGAGCCTCTATCTCCATCTTCCGGGGCACTGCCCTGGAGAGGTTTCCAGCCATAAGAAAGAGCAGCGGGTTTCATTCCAATCCCATCTCAGGTCCCTCAGATCGGCCTCCTCCCCTTTTGCACACTCAAAAGACAGACTCCCCAAATGCTTCTGCATGGCATTCCCAAATACAAACACATTGAATAGCAAGCCATTGGGTATGGATAAGTTGTGATGTAGTCACTCAACCCAGCAAGGGAATTGAAATGACATTTTCTAACCCATCAATTTATGACATGCGCCCATCCCCACTCGATGGCCCTTATGGTCTCTTCCAACTCTATGATTCTATGACCCCCAGAAAAGCATGGCACCTTCCACCCCATCATCCCCTTCTGACCCAAAAAAATCATCCACTTATACACCCATCATCCACTGAATGGCTCTTATGATCTCTTCCAACTCTATGCTTACGACCGCCGAAAAAGCATGGCACCTTCCAATCTATGACATAATCCACTTATGCACCAATCATCCACTGAATGGCCCTTATAGTCTCTTCCACCTTTATGATTCTATGACCCCCAGAAAAGCATGGCACCTTCCAACCCATCATCCACTTATGACATCATCCACTTATGCACCCATCATCCATTGAATGGCTCTTATGGTCTCTTCCACCTCTATGATTCCATGATCCCTGGAAAAGCATGGCACCTTCCAACCCATTATCCACTTATGGGATCATCCACTTATGCACCCATCATCAACTGAATGACTCTTATGGTCTCTTCCACCTCTATGATTCCATGATCCCTGGAAAAGCATGGCACCTTCCAACCCATTATCCACTTATGACATCATCCACTTATGCACCCATCATCCACTGAATGACTCTTATGGTCTCTTCCATCTCTGTGATTCCATGATCCCCAGAAAAGCATGGCACCTTCCAAGCCATTATCCACTTATGACATCATCCATTTATGAACCCATCACCCACTGAATGGCCCATATGGTCTCTTCCAACTTTATGATTCTACAAACCCAGGACAAGATGGCACCTTCCAACCCATCATCCACCTATGATCTAGCAAAACCTCCAGGTCATTCTGGGCTCTTAAAAACCTTTCATGGGGAAATGAAGGGAAAGAGTTGCTCAAACATGGCTGGTCAAAAGGAAAGGAAGTGTCTGTGTGTGCAAGGCAATCGCAAGATTACGGCAACATGGGAAGAAGAGAGGGAAGATCCCTCTGTGTTGTGTGAAGTACGGAGACTGTGTCTTTTAGGCCTTACCTAAACTCACCTGGATGCAAGACAGGCCCAGGTAGTTTTTCAAAGGGCTCTAAGAACCATCAAAAGATGGTAGCTTTGCTTCCTGAATTGGCTGAAGCATGCTTGCAATAAAAAAGGACAAACAATAAAATAAAATAATAATGCATAAAACCAGCACCTGTTCATGACAGTGCCTTCTGACCACTGTTAATAAAAAGGACTTTGCAAGCCATACATCCATGGCTGAGCAACAGAGACATGAAACTGGGGAACAATGGAGGCTGATGGAGAATGAGGAGCTGAGGGATAAACATGCTACTTAAAACTAGTTTAATCTATTTAGGCATTTATTTATGTCCTCCTCCCCCAAGAGAACTCTCACTATAGGGTGTCTATAGGACAAGGTTTTGCCTGGTTAGATGAGGCAGTTTCAGGAGGAGGAAGATTATCCAGTTCAGTGCTGGCTTGTGCCCTTTGAAAAGAGATCTGCTGAAAGGAGGAGATGCAGAGGAGAGGGTTAGGAGGGAAAGTGTAAGTAATAAAAAAGGTGTGAACATGAGAAGAATTTGCCCCTTTCCTGAACAGGTTGATCTCTTCTGCTTCTACCCTCTTGTTCTTTGGTTTCAATAAATTCAAGAGACCTACGGTTTTCACTACTTACAATCACATTGGCATCAGGAAATGCAATGCAAGAACTACAACATGAGCCTTTTGGAAACTGGGTTGGTGGGGACGAGAGAAGGGGCCTTCTCTGTGGTGGCCACTCGACTCTGGAATACCCTCCCAAAAAGAGATTAGATTAGCCCCCACCCTTCAATCCTTCCATTCCGACCTTAAAACATGAATGCTCAGACAGGCCTTTGTAGGCTGAATGGGCCCATATGAAGGTGACACTCGGCACCGTGTGAATTGATGCCAGTTAATTTTATGTTGTTGTAAAATTGTATTATTTTGATTTTATGCTACATGTGTTGATGGGGATTGTTGTTATAATTTTATGTGACTTGTTTTATATCTTTGTACCGTTTTTACCTGTTGTATGTTATATGTGTATCTTGGAGTGCCTTGTAGGCCGCCCCGCGTCCCTTTGGGGAGATAGTGGTAGGCTATAAATAAGTTTTTATTTATATTGCTAGCCATCCCCTGCCACACGTTGCTGTGACCCACATGGGGGTTCTGTGTGGGAAGTTTGGCCCAATTCTATCGTTGGTGGGGTTCAGAATGCTCTGTGATTGTGGGTGAACTATAAATCCCAGCAACTAGAACTCCCAGATGTCAAGATTCTATTTTCCTCAAACTCCACCAGTGTTCACATTTGGGCATATTGAGTATTCGTGTAGAGTTTGGTCCAGATCCATCATTGTTTGAGCCCACAGTGCTCTCTGGATATAGGTGAACTACAACTCCAAAACTAAAGCACACTGCCCACCAAACCCTTCCAGTATTTTCTGTTGGTCATGGGAGAACTGTGTGCCAAGTTTGGTTCAATTCCATTGTTAGTGGGGTTCAGAATGCTCTTTGATGGTAGGTGAACTATAAATCCCAGCAACTACAACTCCCAAAAGACAAAATCAATTTTTGGGGGTGAAAGACATACATTGGGTTGTTAGGTGTCCTGTGTCCAAATTTGGTGTCAATTCATCTAGTAGTTTTTGAGTTCTGTTAATCCCACAAACAAACATTACATTTTTATTTATATAGATTTGTATTTATATATTATGGAGGCTGCATTGCAGCAGCAGTGATGGGTTCCCAAGTCAGCTAACTGATGTATCTGCTTTAGGTCTTAGTGTGAACTTCGACAGAGCGATTCAAAATGCTGCTGATCCTACTATGGGACCAGGGCTTGACTCCTTCAATCACAATTGTAATGAATGAATTCAGACTCAGAACAAGCTCATTGACCCCAAAAGGGGATTCCCTGTCAGTGACAACCAAATATGCCATTCTCTATACATTCCGCCGTTCCTCTTAAAACTGCTGGTTTAATCAAGAATTAATTAGTGACTGATGCAACAAATTAAATCCCCACCTTCTTGACATTGGCATGAGATTAATTTTCTAACCATCAATATTAAGAAATCATTACCTTCCAAGGGCGGATAATGGAAGGATTTCACAGCTGGGTTTGGGGGGAAAAGCTAATCTGCGAACGATGCACAAGGGCTGTAACCTCGGTGTTGGGCTGGTTGACCAAACATAGCATATGGCACACAAGCATCTTCCATTTCTAAACCTGCCACATTTCTAAACCTGAAGAAAAAACTCAGTAAGAAGAAGGATGAAGTGTAATGGGAAGAATATTTGGGGAGAAAAATGTCTAAAAAGTGTTTCTTGGTTGTTGGAAACACTGACGAGATGAATAGTTGCAATTCTAATATATTCTACAGAAAATGTGTATAGACATAAAGAATTTTCTGTGCAGTAACAATATTTTGCACATAATTATTTTCTGCACAGAAAATGCTGCCATGTGTGCAAAGGAAACATGTGCAGAATAAATCCTGATCTGAAAATCCTCTTTGAAAATGGCATTTTCTTGCAGCAGGATGAAAATTGCTAAAATTACACATTGCTTCTTCCTTGAAGAGTACCATGAGTGAAGAACTGTATCCTTTTGCAGAACATTGGTGCCTGATATCTTTCAACTGGTTTGGAAGTGCCAAACTGGGCAGCCTCAGGAACAAGGAGAACGGCTTCTACTCTGGATTTTACCCCAGGATGAGAATGGCACATTCCAACCCATCATCCACTTACGTGTTTGGAAATTGCAGGAAATGGAAAAGGGGGGAAGGGCTACAGAAGAAAAGAAAGCGTCAGCTAAGCGGCCATACAGTTGGGGAAACACCATTCATTGCATCAGACTTTTCCCAATTCCAATGAAATGGTTTTCAGTGGGAGGCGATTGAGGCTCTAGTCCTGCACTCACAGACTTAGGAGCAAGCTTCTCACCCCCAGGTGGATGGGCTTTATAGTACCTAAGCAGAGGTTTCCACTTTCTGTGCCAGAAGAATACCGAGAGATACAGTCACTTCTAGGCTTGGTTAGCCTTTGATCCCATTGCATGGAATGTCACCCCGTCTTGCCCATATCAATTTTGCCCACTTCCCAAGACGTCCCTTTGCCCACCCATACCACCATTAACTTACCCCCAGTTTTCCATGCTTCCCTTCTTCCCTCAGAGTCTAGATCTTGTGTGGTCTGCAAGCAGGAGCGCATGAGACCAATCTATGCCAAGAGCAACGACCTCATGATCAATCCCTTCTTGGACCCACTACCACCACAAAGCAGAGGACATATTGGTGCCCTCATGAACCCCCTCTTGGCTTCCCTTCCCTATCCACTTGTCTTGTTGCTTCTGTTCAAAGGGAGAGATTTCCATGGCTCCCTTCTTCCCACTCATTCTGCCACAAGGGAGCAGGCCTGTGGGGTCCCTGCTGAGGTGCTGCCAGAGAAGCTGAGGTTCAGAAGAGCACTGAGGTATCAGGTCACAGTTTGGCCCCTCTTTGAGGAGGCTGTGGCTTTGACAAGAGGTCCTCCTTTGACCCTCCCCTCCCATTCCATCACCACAAACCCATGGCTGGTGGGATCCGGTCCAGAGTTTGGCCCCACACCAAAGGTCATTTTGTTTATTGCCATACTTTGAAATTAACCCTTGGATCCAGGGCTTGGCTAGTTGTCTCCACACCAGATTGGCCAGCCCTCCCCTCTTTCTGCCATGTTTGGTTTCTCAGTCGTTTGATATGTAAACATCAACACTTTGTGGCATCTCTTGAGTGAGCAAGGAGGATGTGGAGGAGGCTCCAAAAGCTAAAATGTTTCAAGCTTGGCTTCAAAAACCAGGCAGGTGAAGGTAATCCCAAAACGGAGATGACACAGTTCGTGCTCTCAAGTCCTCACAGGACGATGGCTGGCGTTGTATCCAAGGCTTTGCTTCTAGAAAGGAAACCCTGATCACGGCTCTTTCTCTCCTTCTGGAATATGGCCGGGCCTTCTTTTTCCTTGGTCTCCCACCCGTATCCAGCTCGGGCCCCCCCACCCCCAGTCTGCACCCCATGTTCTGCTATGGAAACACGGGGGTCATACCCGTGTTACAGGTCATGTTGTCCTTGCCGGGAAGCCTCCGGTCATTGAAGGTGTGCATGTTGATCACAGCATCTGTCTTGACCATGACTGGAGGCTGGGGCTTGTGTTTCACACGCCGGTGGCAGGTGAGTGACAGCCGGATCTCATCCGCCATGGCGCTGCAGAAGGAGCGCTGCAAAAGGGAGAAAAGGTACAGGCTTGGTTGCTCTGAACTCAGAATTGAGGCTGGAAGGTGAACTGAAAATATCTGTCCATGAACATCCTCAATCATGGTGCCTCAAACATCTGCTCAAAAGTCAGGATGTTATGAAAGACCCATGGACAGGTCAATGGGACTCAAAGATAAAGGGACATTGTTACATGAGAGATAACCAGAATGGAGAGTGAAATATTCTAGATCCCATGACTAGCAGCATCACTGCAACAATGTGTTGCTCAAAGTGCTTATACTTTGGACCAGCACCCCCAGTCTCACCTGATTTCTCAATTGAATGAAGATTGGATCTGGCTAGAACAGGCATGGGCAAATTCGGCTCTCCAGTTTACCAGTTGTTGGGAATTGTAGGAGTTGAAGTCCAAAACACGTGGAGGGGCTAGGTTTGCCCATGACTGGGTTAGAACATACATGGGAGGCCACTAAAAAGGAATCTCCAGGTAAGAAACCTATTTTAAAACCCAGAAAACCACCCCCGTTGGTCAAAATGATCAGAACTGGGCTCAAAGGATGCTTATGTGTCCACCCCAGGTGAAGGGCAGCTTCCTACGTGCAATTTATGGGACTTCTTTTTAAAAGGAATTTATGTTCTTGCCCTTTCTAAGAGCTTCTTCGGTATTATTAACACTAGTCAAATGTAGCTCCACCTTCTGTCCCCGGAAGGAGTGAGAATGAGAGGTGGTTCGTTGTCATGTTGATGAGACTCAGGCATGTTTAGCCCAGAGGAGAGAAAGGGAGACCATTGGCTAGTCTGTTGTTGCATAGGAAAGGACTTATTTTCCACTGTTGCAGGGCCCAAACCAATGGACTCAAATTACAACTAAGAAGATTCAAAGTAAACATCAAGAAGAACATTTTGACAGTAGGAGGTTCTAAACATATGAAGGTTGAATGAAAAGTAATGCCTCTACCTTCATAACTCCTCAACAGATGGCAATACTGGTATGAGGCAGGTACCTGCTTGTTAAGTAGACTCTCCTCTACAGTTCTGTTTTGGTGGAAAGCCTTAGCATTGAATGGTTGTGTTGTTAAAGTGCAAAATATTGAACTCTGCACAGACGGTCGGTCAATGCGACATAAGCAACGTGCAGTCACTGAATTCTTGACAGCAGAAGGTGTCACCCCAAAGAAGATTCATCAGGGAATGCAAGCTGTTTATGGTGATTGTGTTGGTGTCAGTACTGTACGTTGTTGGGCGAGAAAGTTTAAAGATGTTGAAGTGACACCTTCTGCTGTCAAGAATTCAATGACTGCACATTGCTTAAATAGCATTGCCCGACCGTCTGCACAGGGTTCCATACTTCACACTTTAACAACACAACCGTTCAATGCTAAGGCTTCCCAACAAAATGGAACTGTAGAGTTTAGTCTACTGAATAAGTCAGTACCTGCCGCATACCAGTACTGCCATCTGTTGAGGAGTTACGAAGGTGGATGCTTGCCATAGATGCAGGCGAAACGTCAGGAGAAAAATTGCCTCCAGAACATGGCCATATAGCCCGGAAAAACCTACAATAACCCGTGGATGAATTACTTTTCATTCAACCCTCATAGGACAGACTAGCATGGGAAGCTAATGGTAGAAGTCTTGTATTGGAACCTGGATGGACATTAGGAATTAACTAGTGATGGATTCCTGTTTTCACAGGTTTAAACACTGAAGATCACCTCTTAATCTTATGATTCTGGTTTTGGATCTATGAACTTGAAAACAATCTGAGAGTTGGAACACCCATAGGATGGATAAACAAGACTACATTAAGCTGGCAGAAGAGAAATCTGGAAGGTCACGGGATTATCTTTAAACATCTGAAGGGCTTTCATGTAGAAAATTGAATCTTCTTGTTTTCTGCTGCTCCGGAAACTAGGACCTAATCCATACTTCAATACTTGGAAGAACCTTCTGATGACACTAAAACAGATGATATTGGGAATCTCTTTCTTTGGAACTTCATTGGATAGCTACCCCTAAGGGTTGCCTTAGCAGTGGGCCTTCTGTCCTGGGAAAGAGGGAACTGGACTAGATGATCTCAGCTGAAGGTAGCCTCCCATCCCCTCCAAACTCCTGATTCCCCAGCACTTACCTGTTCACGCTCTGCAGTTTTCCGCAGCTTGTAGATGAACTCAATGGTGGCTATAAAGATAGAGAGGACCAGGCCAGCTGCCAAGACAATGAAGAGCCCTCCAATGTTCTGGATCCCGAGGGCGCTGGCCTCCTTGTTCTCTTCCTCTGGGCAGCCGTTGCTTCGCCACCATTTGTCCTTCAAGGCATGCAGCTTGGCCTCTTCCTGGAGCTGGAGGATGGCAATGGTGATCTTGTCTCGGTAGGGAGAGCCTGAAGGTGGAGAAGGAAAAAGCAAAGTTCTTGCCTCAGTTTGTACACCTTCAACTTACCTGTTGACCTATGGCAATACTATGGACTTTGTTGTGGTGGTGGGGTTCTTAGGGAAGAAATGCTATGAAATACAGCATACAGCTCCTGGGATTTGTTGGTGTTTGCCATCCAAGTACTAAGAAGAGTTAATCAAGATCTGGAACCTTTAAGGTACCCAGGACCACAAAGGTTTTTTTTTTTTATTCCTTCTCTTAAATTCCTTCACTTTAATAATATATTTTTGGGGAGTTCATCTACAGGTGTTTTTCCTTCACTGGGCCAAAACCCCTTTAGGGATTCCAGCTACGTGAAGTTTCTTTCAAGACATCACAAGGGAATTTTGTTTGGGCTCAATCCTATTAGTTCATGTTAAGCGTATTCAATTGGTCACTGAATGGTGAGTAGAGAAATCCCATTGCTACCCTGTTGGGAGATGACAACAGGATCCAATAGGATAGTAATGAGGACCTTGATCTTCTGCAATTCAAATGAAGGACATTGCATGACCCTCAGGGTTGAGCTGAGAGCAATGGCTCTAAGGATGCTCTTGGCTTCCCCTGTGCCCCCCCCCGTGCCCCTTGTTCCCCCTTATGCCCCCCCACTGCTGACCCATGGGTGTGCCGATCCCATAGCCTTTGGTGTCGATCAGCCCTCCAATCTGGGTCAGGTTGCAGTTCCTCTGGGTGATGTACTCAATGGTAGTTGACTCCATCAGCAAGGCATAGTCAGAGGTGAGTGTGCGTTGGATTCCCTCCTCGTTGTTCTTCACCAGGGAGGAAGACTTGCTGCTCATGAAGGCCCACATCTTCTCAAACGTGGAGATTTTGGACTTCTGGAAAAGCAGAGAGAAAGAGGGAAACAGTGACCAGAGCACAATTAAGGCTGTGAATGTCTCTTTCTTTCAACTCTATATACCTCAAAGTACCACAGTGAGGCCTTTCTGATGAGTGGATTGAATGAAATTGTATGATTGGGGTCTGGCTAGGGCCTATTAAGGTCTGGCAAGACTGAATACACCAACTGAAAAATACTTGAAAATGGCATTATGGAGGAAGTGAAGAAATGATTAACTCTGACATGAAAAGTGCTAATGAGAAATCAAGAGAAACTGGCTTTTGAACTTTTAGTGTAAGCAACACATGCTTACATAGACAAAGACAATGTTAATTTAAGGAACAACTTATCTGTTTTGGAATTGATGAGGCGCCAGCAAGTCTGAGCGGAATGTCAGATGTTATCTAAACAACCAAATAATGGATAACCAAAAATTGTTACATAAGGAGACCCTTTTCCTTTTCCAAACTGTGCCAGATCTGTGAAGAATGCAACGTTTGAACCCCTGCCTCCTTCCAAGAAGCCTGATGGACTGAATGAAGAAGGATGGTGAGTATGAATGAGTGAATGAATGGATTATGAGTATATGTGGCGTTTCCCCCTTTGTCTGTGCAACCAATATAGTTATTATAAAATCAGTACTGATTCTGTGTGAATACTTCTTTCTCCGAAAGTGCCTGATGCACTCTGTCCCACTGAAAATGGATTAAAGAACATTTTTAAGGTTCAAAAATATTAATGACACCTTCATCCTGGAGTATGTATTGATAGCAAAGGAAGGTCTATTTCCACATAAATACCAAGGATACAAGATGAAGTCAGCCTGAGACCATCCCATGGCCAAGATTTGAGGGGAGCAGTGGATGCTGGTGGGCTTTTCAATGTTTCCTCTTTTTTCTCAGGGTCACAATAATTCCATCGCAAATAACAACAGCCAAGAGAACTCAACAAATCTGGTGATTCTGCCAATCAGTTCACCCAACGGATAAACGTTTTTAAATTATAGCATTGGATGATCAGAGTGAACAATGAATATTCATTTTCATTGTGGACCCTAAGGGTAACTGTCTACAAAATTAATTATTGAACATTTAAATAAATAATAACATCCTTAATGAGTCTCCGGAGTCTGGCTTTCTATGGGATGTTTTATCTGCCATTTCCCAATCTCTTCATATTGTTTATTCAGAAAATAAAATAATGAGAAGCTGCCTTTTGAATGGGAAAGGCCAGAGAGCAATGCTCAATGAAGTAAGCAAACAGCCAGAGGAGGGGACCCTCATGTTCCTTTAAGAAGAGCCCTCACAGCCCCTTGGCCTCCATGGCTCACTTGCCAATAGATGGCTAAGGTGGTCAGTGGATTAGTGGCCACCAGACCTTGTGCTCCTTCCTTTAAATAAAGGTTATCTTTCTTGGAAAGCTTTCTTGGAATATTTGTATGTAGCTTAGGGTGATTTAAGTTTGGCCATCAGAAGTAATCTTTGAAGCCACGCAGGGATCCAACACAGTTCAGAGAATGGTAGTCAACCTCAAGTTGAAGAGCCCCATGAAATTCTCTATGGAGGGTCGGCCTCCCCAAATCCCCAATGTCTAGGTCTGGAAAGAATATTTGCAAATGTACTATGGTTTGAATACAAATGTTGCATCAATGTTGTGTATATGGAGCAATTAAGTTTCCAGGTTTTTTTTTAAAAAAAAAAAAAATCTTTTCAGCTCAGACAGCACATTCTTTGTTCAAATATCTTTGCTCCCAGATTTGCAAACAGTCATCTGAAACTGCTCAGAAATTGTTGCCTTTTCCAGTACATCTACACTACAGAATTAAGGCAGATTCATAGAACCATAGAGCAAAAGATTTAGAAGATACCAAATGGGCCATCTAGTCCAACCCCTGCCATGCAGGAAAAGCACAAAGTACCCCTGATGGAGGGCCATCCAGCCTCTGTTTAAAAGCTTCCAATGAGGGGGGTTTCACCAGACTCCAAGGCAGTAAGTTCCAATCCTGAACAGCTATCCTTACGGTCACAACATTCTTCCAAATGTTCAGGTAGAATCTCCTTCCCTGTAATTTGAACCTTTTGCTCCAAGTCCTAGTTTCCAGGGCAGCAGAAAAGAAGCCTCCCCCTTCTTCCTTATGATATCCTTTCATACGTTTATGTTAACGAACACCACTACCCCACCCCTAATAAAAGAGAGACGTAGCTCTACCCCCAAGGAAGTCATAGTTCCTCAAGGGCGGAGTGCCAAATGAACTGCAATGGCTACCATCCCTCCAACCTCCCTCAAGTCTCCTAGGATCAGCAGTACCACTCCAACACCATAGCCCCCAATGCCCCCCACACACCTGAGCCAGTTTGCATCTGCAATCATCCAGAGCTCTGCTGGAGATCGCCTGATCGATCTCCAGCACACTCATTGCAACCAAGTTGGAACCCAGACTAGTACAATGTATCACACACCTCAATTTCCAGACTCTCTACCATACAAAGCATCTTTCTATATTTTTTTCTTTTTCCCCTTTCTCTTATGAGAATGTTCATGAGCGTAGACAAATGAATTTTAAAAAAATAAAATAAATAAAACCCTTTGTGGATCTCAGCCCTCCGCTGGACAAAGACTTAGCGAAGCTTGCCAGGCATCCCTCGGTATCTGCAGGTCCTTCAAAAACCTCACATTTCCAGCACCATTTATACATGGTGATCATGTCTCCTCTCAAACTTCTCTTCTGCAGGCTAAACATACCCAGCTCCTCATTGGAATTCATGGTCCCCAGACCTTTGATCATTTTAGTTGCTCTCCTCTGGACACCTTACAGCTTGTCAATATCCCTTTTAAACTTTGATGCCCGGAAATGGAAACAGTATTCCAGGTGAGGTAAAGATTGGCACCACTTTAACTGTCTCATCTCAAAGCTCTGGGTCCTGGGGTTCTGACAAGTTTAGACCTTTCTGTGAAATAATCATAAAATCATAGAGTTGGAAAAGACTGCATGGACCATCTAGGGCCCCTTCCGCACAGGTGGATAAAATCCACATTAAACTAGATTATATGGCAGTGTGGACTCAGATAACTCATTTCAAAGCAGATATTGTGGATTATCTGCCTTGATATTTTTGGTTATATGGCTTTGTGGAAGGGTCTTAGTCCAACCCCCTGCCAGGCAGGAAAAGCACAATGAAAGCACCCCCAGCAGATGGCCATCCAGCCTCTGTTTGAAAACATCCAAAGAAGGAACATCCAAAGAGTGCTGGTGCCTCACCAAACTGCAACTCCCAGGATCCCATAATATGGAGGCATGTGAGTTAAAGTGGAAACCAAACTGCATTAACTCTACAATGAAGATGCACTCATAATCTCATCGTTTACATCTGTGAACCACAATAACCTTACCAATAATATCTGTTTACTAATATCTTTACTGAATTGTTACGAATCGCCTAGCATAGCACTTTATTGCTCTCTTTGCCCTACTTGCTGCTAACTTTCCAACTCAGCACTTTAACTTATTCCAATCCCTCCATGCCGCACTTTAGTTAGCACTTAGTGCTAGATCTGGGTCCCCTTGCACTTTAAGAACTGCTCCAGTTTGCACGTGACTGCGACAACTATTGCACTTTGACATTGTAAACTCTATCGAAGTGTTTACCATCATTGCCCATGTGGTCCCCTATTCCCCTATTGTTATTGTCCTTGGTGCTAATTATCTGTGAAAGGGACAAGGGACGGAATGGGCTGGAGACTGTGGGAAATAATAAGGCCGGGGGGGGGGGGGGGATAAAGGGTATGGAAGAACATGGCAAAGTAAGATCTTAACTAGCCAAACAACCAATTATGGAACAGAAGCTAAGACCATGGAATTGGATTGTGGCATGGAGGAGAGGGGGTGTTCCACTAGCCGAGGAGTCCCCATAGAAGTGGTGGTGGGGAAGGGGAGATGCGGGAAAAGGAGACCAATAATTCGGCCTAGGGACCGTGCATCAACATTAGTAATTCCAAACCGGTCTCCTAACATGGTAAATTGGTGTAACCAGGATGGCGGTCCCTCTGGATTGAAGGTGGTGCTGTTGAACGCCAGATCTGTCAATGGAAAAACAACTTTCATCCAGACTTAATCCTGGATGAGCGGGCAGATCTGGCGTGCATCACGGAGACCTGGTTGGACGAAGCTGGAGGCGTGAATTTGACCCAGCTTTGCCCACCAGGTTTTTCCGTGCAGCATCAGCCGAGATCCGGAGGGCGGGGAGGCGGGGTCGCAGTGGTCTATAGAGATTCTATCCCTCTGACCAGGGGCCCCATCCCGCAGTCAACAAATTTTGAATGCGTCCACCTGAGGGTGGGTGACCGGGACAGAATAGGGATTCTGCTAGTGTACCGTCCACCTCGCTGCACTACAGTCTCCCTACCTGAGCTAGCGGGGGTGGTCTCGAGCCTGGCATTGGAGTCTCAACGGCTAGGGAGACTTCAATGTCCATGCCGAGGCGGCCCTCTCAGGAGTGGCTCAGGACTTCATGTCTGCCATGGCAACCATGGGGCTGTCCCAACAAATATCTGGCCCCACCCACTGTGCTGGACATACATTGGACTTGGTTTTCTGCCAGGGATGGGAGCAAGGTGGCGGTGTGAGGAGCTGACCATCTCTCCGTTGCCATGGACCGACCACTTCCTGGTCAGATTTAGGCTCACTGCGCCCCCTAACCTCTGCAGAGGTGGAGGACCCATTAAGTTGGTCTGCCCCAGGAGGCTTATGGATCCGGATGGATTCCTGATGGCTCTTGGGGAGTTTCCCTCCACCTCGGTAGGTGATCCTGTTGACGCCCTGGTCGCTCTCTGGAATGGGGAGATGACTAGTGTTGTGGTTCAACAGCAACAGCATGATGGGACTGAAAGTGCAGATGAGCATGATGGGAATGGGAATACAGATGCAGGTGTGGGCTTTCAGTTTTCTCAGTCACAGTCTGTAGCTAGAGACAAGCCACTTTTCTCACAGGAACGGAATGT